CTACTATAGGGAAACACATCTGCCCCCTGCTGGAACCAGCGATCACTACAGCTCCTCATCTATAGGGAAACACATCTGCCCCCTGCTGGAACCAGCGATCACTACAGCTCCTCATCTATAGGGAAACACATCTGCCCCCTGCTGGAGCCAGTGATCACTACAGCTCCCCCAAAATCAATAAATAGCAGATTAGTTTGATTTATTCCACTTAATAACTTAAAAAGTGAGTGTGTGATATTTAAATTTTGTGAAATTAAACACACCTAAAGCCAAATAAACCAAGAAGATCCGTGTTTAAAATAACTTTAGCGGTTAAGTTTCTTTAAACTTCTGTTAAATGAGGATTTCCAGATCAACCACCTGATGGGTTAAACATCCCAGCTGCTTGATTTTTTTGGTCAACATTTTTCTATTGACAGTAACACTAGAGAGCTTTCTGAAAGTCAAAACTTTGAGATTTTAACTCTGCCCTACGTCATTATGGAAGGCAAAAAGAACAACTAAACATAAACATAACTAATAATTCCAAGAAAAGGATTACTCTCCTGTGCCAACGGCAATATCTCATCATATTTATGTGACTCTAACTTAAAAAAACAGGGTGTTGAACCAGTAAATCGGTCAATATTAAGTCAATGATTACATCCACACATTAAAAGGAAAATTATAAGAAAAAATCTGGAGTGAATTTTGTTTCAATAATGTTGTAAAATAATATATCTTATAAACTGAAATTAAAAAAATGCAATCCAGAGAGGAAATATTGCAAAACATTTTAATTAAAAGAAAATGTTTTCAGATGAACTTTGCTGTTTAAAAAAAAAAATAAATAAATAATAATAATAATATAATTTACTTCTCATAGTTTTTCAAATGTTATTTATGCAGGAAAATGCTTAAAGATTTTATTCTTTCACGTTTTATTTTTTCAGATTTTATATTTTCCTTTTTTTGTTCTCTTTTTCAGATTGAGTTTTACCAAAAGTACTCTTTCTAAATTGTGTCAAACCGCTAAAAAAGGCATTATTTCTTTTAGAGTTTAGAGCAAAACCACATCTGGATTTGTCTGCTCGACGTTAGCAACGTTTTGATGGCTCAGAGCGGCCATTTTTATTGGGCTAGAAGTGAAGAGAAAGTGATTCCTAAAATCAAATCTGAAAAGAATGCAATTTGTAAAACTGAGATTGAAAAACAGAAAAAAGAAAAAAAAGAAGAAATGAGAAGAAGATAAATATTCAAAAACTAGGAAAACAGTTTTTCAAAGTTTAATTTCTGGGTTGCACCTTTTAAAAAATTCAATTTACAAAATGGTTCTTTGCTGTAAAAATATCGAAACAAAATTCACTCCATAGCTGAAGGCAAAAACAATAAAGGCAGAATGAATGCAAATGAATCACTGCACAATAAAAACGTGTTAAGAACGAATAACTGAATCACTCAAAACAGCCGATGTAGAAAAAAATGAAGTTAAATGAAAAACGATTCATAATTAAATGCAATAATCACATCAAAGCTTATTTTTGCAGCTAATTTTAAAGCAAAGCTTTGAATGAGAGCAGCAGGCTGCAGGTGACGCCTGCTCAGGTGGCACAGCTGGAAGGGGGCGTGGTCTCTTTCTGCAGGTATGAAGGCAGCTCCTGACGCCTGCTGCTCCCAGAAGCAACCTGCAGCTCTGATGATGGATCGCCTCCAGCTGAAGGGAGTCTTCCTCTTCTTGGTCCTGACTGCTGCAGAGAACCTCACAGAGCCTCACAGGTAAGCTCACCTGGAGCCGACCGAGGACCTTCAATTCATCTTATATACAGGAATTTATGCTGAAAATTAATCTTTTCTCGTTTCACTTCTTTAAAGGTTTAAAAGCTGAAATAGAAAACTTTTTATTAATGAAATATTTATGCTGGACTGATCAGTTTTCTTTAAAGCTTTTGTATTTATTACAATTTATAACTCTATAAAAATGCCTAAAAATTAAATCTTAATTTTAATAATCTGTTTTTTAAAATGGTTAAAATACAATTAAAAAAATATGACCAGTTTAAATCATGCTTTATAAATAATCCTTTTAATGACTTAACTGTTACAAAATGTTAATAACATTTTTCTTTTTACAAGAAATCAGCGATTGATCATTTCTGCTTTTTAAGATGACATTCTTTTAATTTCACATTTTGGATCATTTAATTTTATTCCTCAAACATGAGTTTCTGTTGTTTTAATTCGTACCTTGTTGTTTTTCAAAGGGTCATACGTTGCATTTGGACCCGTGTTCTTGGTTCTGGTTTGGTTCTGGTTGCTCCATCTGGTTGTTCAGTCGTGTGAACAGAAACTGAGTTCAGATCCTGTTCTCCTTTTGTTCCGTTGGTTTTCCAGGCCTGATTCCGGAAGGGACTGGATCCAGCCTGAATCGGAGCCTTCTTACCTGCTGCTGACTCCCGCGGCTCTCAGAACCGGACTCCCCACCTCAGTGGCGGTCACCGTTCTGGGCTCCTCCTCCGTCACCGTCTCTGCTGAGATCTACCAGGAACAAGGAGGAGTTCTGTCCAAGAACTCCACCGTCGTTAAAGGAGGTGGGTCCGGGGTCCGCTAACAGTTTGGGTCCGATCAGAACTTCCTCATCAGAACTTTTAACATCTTGTCTTCTCTGCAGGAACCACAGCTCAGCTGACTCTGCCTGCTGTAAGCACCAAACGTTTCTCTGGTTCTGACCAGGATCAGGGAAGCTCAGCTGATCTCCCTCTCTAATGTTCGGATCGCTCGTTGATCTGGTTCTGTTTCCGTTGGCAGATCAAAGAAGCCGAATCTGGTGCCAGAAGCTCCTACACCCTAAAGGTCAAAGGCCACAGAGGTTCGGTCCAGATCTTCTCCAACTCCACGCAGCTGCAGGTCCAGCCTGGAGGCGTGTCCACCTTCATCCAGACCGACAAACGATCCTACCAGCCGGGTCAGGCGGTGAAGATCAGAGCCGTGTCGGTTCTGTCTGACGGGAAGCCCTGTGTCGGACCAGCAGACATCCTGATCCGGGTGAGAACCTTTCATTAGAACCCATCCGGATCAGGGATCGGTCTGAAGACTGGAACCACCGGAACCTATTAGAACCAATGCTTTAGTTTAACTGAGAACAGAATTCCCTAAAAAGCATTCACACCCCTAAAACCTTAGAACTGTAAAAGAAAGCCTAGAGTTCTCCGTTCTTCTTTGTAGAACATTAAACCTCAGATTGGATGGAGAACATCCCAGAAAAGCCCATTGTTTTCTGTCATTTCATAGATGTTCTCCTCTCTGGGAATACTAAGGATGAAACCAATCAAAGCTTCTGGTTGGAGCAGCTCAA